TGCTGTTTACTGGCGTATAAAAAATAAGTAAGAGTAATAGATTTACAGAAATGTATAATCTGTAAACATAAAAGGCTACTTGATATATCAGAGGTTTAATATAATGTTAAAATATTGAAGACTGTAAGGATAGAACAGTCCGAAAACTGACCGTGAACGTTACAAGCACAATCCTCGGACTGTCACCGGACTGTCCAGTGACGCCGGGCTTATTTCGGACTGTCCTGGTTCTTCGGTCTTATTTCGGACATGTCTGGTTCGGACTCGGATCACAGACGGACTGTCCTGGACCACATTCGGTACTGTCCGAGGCATTCGGACTGATATTGGAACCGTCCAGGGCGAGTTTCGGAATGATTTCTTTCTATAAGAGAAATGTTCGGAAAGAGTAAAATGCGCCTATTCGAGGGGTCCGCAACTAGGTTCGAGCGCGTACACTGGCCGCCCGGAAAACTGGGAAGACCGGGAAGACCACTAGGAAGACTAAAGAAAGCCGAAGAAGACCAATAAAGTCGTAGGCCACAAATGTGACGGAAAATCGCAAAATATAAGGGAAGACAGGAAAAACTTTAGGAAAGACCTAGAAATTGCAAGGAAGGCCAGAAAATGTAAGGAAAGACCGATGAAAAATCGAGAAAACCGCACAAAACTGGAGGAAGCCTTTAGAAAATATCAGAAAACCACTAAAAAGTTGGGGAGACCGGGAAAACCTGAGGAAAACCTAGGAAAACTAGGAAGCCTACCACATGTGTACACCGGCAGACCGTACTTGCGGACCTCTCGCGCCTATTACATTAGCTACCAGAACGAAGCCTCGCTCACGGTGGACATTGTCTGTCGGCCCTTATTGGATAAAAGGAATTTGAAATTCGGAGCCGTTCGTCCCTAAAACTTTCGTTAATAAGATCTGAACTTTAAATAACAGCGCTGTGTTTGCAGTAAGCTAAAATACATTTCAAGTAAAAGCGACAGGAAGTCTTGGTTTATGGTAATAGGACAGTGCCGTAACTAACTGGGGACTCACTGAGCCTTTTGCTAAGCTAGTATATTTCAAAACGCGTTTGGATATTGTAGTCCGTGCCACGTTTAGTGAATAGGAGAAGAACCGGCACTCATAGCTATCAAAAGGCATTTTCTAATAGGAAAATACACGAAATGACATCCTCTGCTGGGAATCCCCCTGTTGTGCCATGGACTGGAAAACGAAAACGCCTAAAAGGCTGTGCCATATGGAAATCAAGTATTGCACGTTAGCTCGTAAAGTATTAAGCACTCCAGAGCACAAGATTACACTATGAACACTCTATTTCTGCGATAAATATGTTTTAACAGTGCGCCTCGGACGGCAGAGCACCCAATTATAAGAATGCCGAGATGTATCAGGCCAGAATCCAACCAGTTCAAACCACGCGTCGGGCTGTCCTGTCGGGCTTCACTCGGACAAATCCGACGCATCGGGCGGGCGGGAATCGGAAAATCCGACGATAGGTCTCGGGCGCCAGTCGAACTGTCCGAGTCTGTCGGGTGAAACTGGAACAGCCTGGCTCGGGCTTCAAGCCCGACTTCGTCGGACTATAGATCTTTTCTGGAGCAGGGCCTGGAAACGCAATGGTCGAGTCCCGGCCCAGGCGCTATACCGCAACGGGGGAAGCTTATGTGAAAAAAGTATGCATCTACGGTGGAAAAAAAAGGGGAGATTCGGAAAGCTAATTAAATTTGACATGTAGTAGGCTATATGCTCAGCCCGAAAGTAATGTTTGTCGTGGTGAAATACACGAACGAAGTTCCGTCTGCTAGAGTGAGGTTATGTAAGGTCGAAAACCATGTTTTTAAACAAATTTTCTCTGCGCACTCGTGACAGTTATCATGTATTACAACAGGCCTATATACTATAACTACACGACAAATCTCATCAACTTACCGAATCTCTTCTTAATTTTTACCGAAGATGTATACTTTTTCACATAAGCTTCCCCCAAAACACGCTGTTTTCGCTGGTATCGCGCCTCGGCCGGGACTCGACCATTGCCTTTCCAGGCCCTTTCTGGAGCAAGTCGGACAGCGATCAGTAAAAGATCATTATGCGACCAAGTTAACTAAGATGTGCAAGGCAGCTGAAATCCTAAGTACCAATCCGTTTTAAATTCCATAGTGTTCGTTACAAAAGTGTCATTGTCTTATAGTTTCACACACATTTGTGGCAATATGTGCTTCCTAGGCACGTATGGGAATTGCCCTTTACACTTGTGGCAAATTGCCTATTCGCTTCGAATTCTTTCCACACAATCTCCGCGTATGGGAAAACTCCTATATCCTTTGTAGGAATTTTCACGTCCCATACGACGTATAGTACATTTCCTATACGTGCGAATGGTAAACTTTCAAACATTTTTTACAGTGACTGATTGCGAGGTCTCAGACTTGTTGCGATATGAACCCGGAAACATTTTCCTTTGAGTTCGTTTTCACGGGGGGGGGGGGAGCAAGGAGCCTTGACCCCTTACCCTTTCTCAAAATCCACCCGTCAGAGGCTCTGTATACGAGAGTAACATTTTACAGGGACAACTCTGGAGTGAACAATTACCTTGTTTCCTCGTGCCACATAAAGCAAAAAAGGAAGTAGTCCATCACGGCGATTCCCCTCTACACTTCTGTATATCCATCGTAAGGTATCTGAGAATAAACGTGGCTGTCCGTTCCCTGAAAAACATGACCAACCACAGTTGTATTCGGTTCGTGGTCAGTGCACAATAATGGATGACTAGGCAGAATGGCGTCATGTAGCGCGTCTCAGAGCCTGGGGAGAGGGTAGTGTGCATTGAAGAGCGCGAATACGCAGGCGGTGGCAGCATCTGGCAGGCGCGGCAAAACGTGTTCACGGATAAAAAATATTAAGTTGGGACAGCGAACAATTTAGTTGATTTCCGGACAACTGAATTATTTCCGTTGTGACAACGAACAGAGAAAAATACCTTTCTACTAGTATAACTGATTAACTAGTTTCCATGACGAAAAGTTTTTGATGCCTGCACAAATGCGCCTTATGTCCACTTCACTAATCATCTGTATGTACATAGGTTCCACAGTTTCGTACAGATAGCAAATACCACGGCAGGGACGGAATGGTAATGAAATTATATTATCACCTTATTTGGCTCCTGCTATGTGCCTTCATTAACTTTCGTCACCGTGTATAAGTAGAGCAGAAAAGATTTCATCCTATCCCATCATAGGGTTGTTCGCAATATGTTCATAACGTGGCATTTGTGGCAACTTTTATCTAAGAAATTAAAATACTGGCACCCTAATATAATTTCTTGCGAAAGAGTGTCCACATTTCTCCAGAAAAGCCAAAATATTGTGGGGAACGCTGTTTGGCTGGGCTGGGATAGAACCTTTTCTACCTTTTCTAATCTTTCGAGACACGGTGTCGAAAGTTGATCAAGGCCCACAGCTTTGGAACAGGAGCCAAAAAGGCGATAGTATAATTGGCTGTATAATTAGCGAAACCCATTACTCCACTGACCGGATAAGTTTCATTCTGTTTTTCTGTTTGTCTGTCTGTCCGCACGATAACTCGAGAAAGAATTGAGAGAGCGATCTGGAAATTTCAGAGTCGTTCTGTATCATAAAAGGACAGATTGAGTTCGAAGATGAGCATTCTAGCTCAAAAATTGACTTTTAACAATATCAAAAACCACAGGTTGAAAAATATTTTGTGCTTTCAAATATATTTTTATGGGCTCCTAAGAGGTAACTCGTGAAATTAGAACCCACCTGCCGAAAATTTCGTCCGTTTTGCTCTATCTTGTACCGTTTCGGCGCTATGGGGCCTTTCTTGGCGAAAACAACGCGAAAAGACAAAATGGTCTATTAAAACGTAAAAAAGGCTTCCTGTCACTGAATAAAGCATTCCGGTAAATCTAAAATGCAGAAGAATGGGAGGAAGAAGAAAACGGAGATCACTATGCTTTTACATGGGACTTCCGTTTTCTTGTTCCCGGCATTCTTCTGCATTTCGACTTTACCGGAAAGGTCTATTGTAAAGGGAGTAATACTTAAACCACACATTACGGGTCGAACCACACCCTCTTTTGGGCGTAAGGGTCCCTAGATTATCTAGTATCTCTAAAACGTTGATTTTTATATAACAACCTGTCAAAATTCGAACTTTTGATGAGAACCGTTACCGAACAGCAGAAGTTTCCTGTCCATAATTTTAGAGTAATAAGCCCCCGACAAATATTTCGAGAATGTCAAATTTTGGGCCCGGAAGGCCCTGTTCCCCTACACCCTCTCCTTACCTCGTGTCGGGTGTCAGCGCCGCAGGCCTAGCTATAACTGCGCCAGGCGCGTCGCAGCGTAACAGTGTTTCGTAAGATGTCGCGAAGCCTGTTACGCGAGACGTGGTCTGGCGTACATATAGCTAGTTTAATTACAGTTTGCATCCCTGTACTGTGGTGTTTCGAAGAGAGAATCAGAGAATCTTCATTAGTTTCTGATCAGATGATAACGGAATTTATAAGTTTGGAGTATCTTCACTTCGCTCCGCAGGCGACCGAAGTCTTAGAAATCGGATCTCCTCGTCGATTTTCGTGGCCGATCGATGTCCCCTCGAGTGGATCCACTTACCGGAAATTTTTATTAGGGGCTCGTTCACCAGCTGACTACACCCCACCCTTCTGTCCCGAGTTCGCAAGACAACGCTTAGGATTCGCGACACTTGAATTACCAAACGCCCCTGGGCGCCACGCAATTTCAAGCAAACTAAGCAGGACCGCACCGCCCTTCCGCCAAACGGAGCGTTAGGGGGAAGAACTGTAAAATGTAGGGGGTTGCAAGAATCGTCACAACATAAAAACTGCACACTATTATTCAAATACTGTGACGTCACATTCTATAAAATGTGAATTGTCTCACATTATTTAGAATATTATGTCACATTCGTTTTCACGTGATATAGGTAGGTACGCCTCTTATGCACTGAGCTCTTGAGGACAGAGCGGTGCAAAAGGTATGTCACGTTCTAAAGAATGTGACATGATATTCTAAATAACGTGACACAATTCACATTATATAGAATGTGACGTCACAGTATCTGAATAACAGTGCACGCCGCATCGATTTAGGATTAAGAGCGTGGATGGGGGCTAAGTTTGCCGTTGGCGCCAGTACGCACGCAGTGTCTAGGAGCATGCCGATCTTCGCCTTCAATTGGAACGATGCAGTCCCTCTCGGTGTGCACGATTGTGCTGCAACACATGGGTCTGCCCGGGTGGAAGGATCTGTACTTCTAACTGTAATGGCGCACTGTACACGGATCACATTCACAAATGCATTTAAAGTGTGTACAAAATCAGGTCAAATTGTGTTAGGACTACATATGTTAACGTTTATTAAAATATTGTCAGAATGTATAAAATGTACAGCTGTAGCCTGTAGTTTGTTGTATATTGTCATGTTGGCGTTGGCACCACTGCCTGTCAGAAGTTATAAAGTGT